AATCAGTCAAAGAAAATTCAACTTAGTCTTGATGAAGAAGCACTTAACGCATTTAATAAGATTTAAAAATCCTTGCATCCGAAGACGTATTGCTTCTTTATCCTGATTACAAACAAACATTTGATCTGACTACAGATGCCTATTCTTATGCAATAGGCGCCGTTCTGTCACAGAATGGAAGACCTATCACAATGCTTTCCAGAACCCTCTCCTCAGCCGAAGAAAACTACGCTACCAACGAGAGGGAACCGCTGTCAATATTATGGGCTCTAAAAAAGCTTCGTAACTATTTGTATAGCGTAAAGAATTTGAATATTTACACCGACCATCAACCACTCACATTCGCTTTATCCGATAAAAATCCGAACGCGAAAATGAAAAGATGGCATGCCTTTGTTAAGGAATTTTCACCGCAGTTTCTTTACAAGCCTGGTAAGGAAAACTTCGTCGCGGACGCCCTCTCCCGACAACATATAAATGCATTAGAGCATGACATGGACACGGCAAGCATGGCTGCGAATAGCGAAGAGTCGCTGTCTCATGCAATTCCCACTGAAAAGAACCCCTTTAATTGTTTTCGGAATCAAATAGTCCTTGAAGAAGGAAATCACACATCACTTAGCTCGAAAATTATATTTAAATCCCGAATGAGGCACCGAATATCGTTCAATAATGTAGGAGAACTGATGAAAATTATAAAACAATGTGTCAACCCAAATGTTGTGAACGGCTTGCAGTGTGAATTGCTCATCCTGGCAAAGATTCAAGATGAACTGGTCACGGCATATCCGGCCGCCTAATTCCGTCATACCACCAAACAGGTAATAGACGTCTTCAACAAAGATGACCAGCGCGAGATTCTTCAAACCGAACATAACCGAGCTCATCGGTCACTTCGTGAAAACCAGGACAGGTCCTTGAAAGCTATTATTTCCCTGAAATATGGAAAATTTTGAGGGAAATAATTTCTAATTGCAAGATATGTCACGAGGCCAAATACCAACGCCATCCCCCAAACCCAGAAATAGGATCGACTCGTTTACCTGAATATCCGGGAGAAATCCTTCATGTCGACATTTACTCCGCCGATAAGACACGTTTCCTAACATCAATAGACAAGTTCTCAAAGTTTGCAATAGTATTTCCAATCAAATCTAGAGCCATAGTTGATGTTAAAGAATCCATATACGAACTTCTCAATTTTTACAGAAATACTAAGGTGTTGGTCTGTGACAATGAGAGATCATTGTATTCGGAAACCATTAAATCAATACTTAAAAATCACTTTGGCGTCAATATCTACACCACCCCACCCGCCCATAGTACGACTAACGGACAAGTAGAAAGATTCCACAGTACCCTTACGGAAATTGCCGGCTGTCAGAAGCTTGAGACTGGTATCTCTGACACGATTGAGCTAATTTTGCTAGCCACAACTAAGTACAACCGCACAGTTCATTCAGTAACGAAGTAAAAAGCCAATAGACGTAATACATTCAACACCGGACGAATTAATAAGGGAAATAAAAACTAGACTTACACGTATTAAGCAGAAAGATTTACAAAGACATAATGAAAATAGACAAACACGACGGTATAATCCAGGGGATAAAGTTTATTTGAAGACTAATAAAAGAATAGAAAACAAGTTTTCAAAACTTTACACCGAAGAAGTAATCCAAAAGGATCTTGGTACATTTGTTATAATTGATGAACGAAAAGTGCACATAAATAATTTAAGACACTGACCGCTCTCTCCTTTGTCGCCCTTAGGATCATTTTGCTCTCGTTAAGCTTTCGAGCCAACGCATGAATACTTGATTATACCAACTCTTACTACATCCCAATTACATCCGGAGCTGTAGCTGTTTATGAGCAGCATGGTTTTTTACTCACCAAACTAATTTGTCAGCATTCGAAGCAATAGCTGAGGAGACAGACAAACTACTGATCCAATTCCCACAATCACATATTAAACGACTACTGGAGAATGATGCTAATGAAATATTACAACTATTGGACGCAATAAAAATACACCATCGGTACGCTAGAAGTATTAACATTATGGGGGCTGCCTTGAAATACATAACAGGGACTCCAGACTCTGACGACTTTCAAATGTTCGAGACCAGAACCAATGCCCTATTAGACACAAACGAACAACAAATAGCGGTAAATTCAGCTACACAAAAGAAAATAGACGAATTGACAGTGACAGTAAATAAATTATTACAAAATGCAAAAAGCACTCAAATAGATACGGGATATCTCTTTTCTCTAGCCTCCTCCAGAAATAGAGCAGTTATAATGGAATTGGAAACCATTTTAACGTCAGTCACTCTGGGCAGGTTAAATATTGTCAACCCTATCCTGCTAAATGGTATGGATATCAATGGTTTGATAGCTGCTGAACACTCTGCAAATATTAGCATAAGTTCTTTTTGGTTGTTTGTGTTTCCTACAGGGTAGGAGTATGATGTATTGTGGAACGATTTTCCGTCATCCCTTGTCAAATTTGGTTTAGAGACAAACCGGTTTCGGCGTTGTGCCATCTTCAGTGTCATTTTTCGTTCTGAATAGTTCGTGTTTCCTTCCGCTTTTTACAACGCTTTTATCAACTTGCAATGTTGTGGCTCCAGAAACTTTCAATGTTGTGGATCCAGAAACTTTCAATGTTGTGTGTCCGACACCATAAAACCTTTGCTTTGCAAAGTTCCTATAAAAAAGTCTAGTGCATAGGGCGACATCTGTAGTGAATAGGGCGAGGTAGATGACATCTAGATGTCGCCCTATGTACTACGTTCGCTACAGCGGAAATAGACGACACGCCATTTCTTTAAAAGTTCCTATAAAAAGTCTAGTGCATGGGGCGACATCTGTAGTGAATAGGGCGAGGTAGATGACATCTAGATGTCGCCCTATGTACTACGTTCGCTACAGCGGAAATAGACGACACGCCATTTCTTTAAATAAAATTAATTGGTGCTCGTTTGTATGTACATACATATGTAAATGCATGTGTGTGCACCTTTCTATTAATATCGTTGAATTATTTTAATATCTATCGCAAAATTTTATACAGACAAGACAAAAAAGTAGAAAATAAATAATATAAAAAAAAAACTTTTTAATATACAACGCTTTTGTAAATGGACTAAAAAGTAGAAAATAATATTTCTCAGTCCCATAGAATTTGTTTTGATAACTTTTGATTTTGAAATTTTAGCAAAAGTCGTTATAACCAATTTATGAGATTGAAAATGAAAAGCGTGGGGCGCATGCAATACAAAGCATTATATTTAATTGATAATAGGCAAACTACATAACATAGACCTAAAATTTCTTCAGCGAAAGTACATATTTGAGATCGACTTTAAGCGGTCGATATTCATATATACATATGAACATATATTACCCTTCATATCAATTCAGGTGGCTGTACATGGCAGTTTGGCTGCCTTATTAATTTTCATTGGTGTACATTTAAACAGATAGTAACACGAATACATAAAAAGCGGAAGGAAACACGAACTATTCAGAACGAAAAAATGACACTGAAGATGGCACAACGCCGAAACCGGTTTGTCTCCAAATCAAATTTGACAAGGGATGACGGAAAATCATTCCACAATACATCATTAGCATAAGTGATTTATTGTCCATTTCTAAAATTAAGATATTTCAAGATACGAATTGCATTTACTTTGTTGTTAAATTTCCAAAAATAGACAGATTTTGTAATAATGTAAAGTTGCTGCCAGTGATCCATGACGGAAAAATTATCGCTCTAGAAACAGACATTATTGCTGAATGTAATGGTAAATACATTCCACTCTACAACTGCAAGGAGGCTGTGGCGGCAAACTTTTGTCAGCCTCTGAAGGAAAGCCCCTGTACGCTAAAACTACTTAACCAACACTCTGCAAAATGTAAGTCAAAATTCGCCGATAATGTTCCCGCTATTGAGGAAGTTGATAATGGCATACTGGTAATCAACGATCAACCAACATCTTTACAAACCCAGAACTTGACAAAACTAACGAAGGGAACTTTCCTTGTAACATTTGATGGAGAGATTTCGGTAAACACTACGGCTTACGTCAACTGGGCTAAAATTATTCGATCGCATCCCGAAGCTGCACGTGCGCAATATGTAAATTTCACCGAACACATTGATTTACTATCGCTACCATACTTTCACAAAGTAAATATGAGGAACCTTAAGCACATAGCGAGGCTGCATGATCTCGTTAACGCCCGTTCATTACAATCAGGGGGCGCACTTCTCTTACTCCTATTCCTAAAGCCAACGGCAAGAGGTAAAATTGCCGAATTGTATTTTGCAAGTCACACGGCAAAACATGTGCAGCAACTGGTAGGTGGTAAGAAAGCGTCAGGTATTTAGGCGTAGTCGCCGCAATATTTTAGTTAGCAAATTCAGTTGTAATAACTCGACCGATACGAACGGCTGCTCTTGTGCAAACAAGAGAAATAAAATAACATTAAAACCCAACCAAGTGTTTTAATAATTGCTCTTGTGCAAGCAAGGGAAATGAAATAACATTTAAACCCAATCAAGTGTTTTAATAAGTTGCATATACCTTTTGAGCAAATAATTACTGTTACAATATTCGAAATCCATTGATCGAAAAGCAAGCAGCTTCATGCCAATTTTTCCGCTTTTAATATAATGAAAAGTCAGGGACAAAAACGACTATTTTAAATAATTGTCGGTCCATAAATCGGATGTAAGTCCATAGGCACAGATATCCTTTAGTTCCATTTTTAAGGAATCATGCGCTATATAATATAGATTGTCTATATTTCTTGATACTGTTGTTGGATGGGGTAATAACTGATGAATATCTACGATGGGCCCACACCTAGCTCCAATTGAAAGCATTAGGTCCGTATATTCGATCAAGCCTGCGTCTTCCACCATTTTAAATGGTCTGCAATTTTTTATGACCCATTTGGTAAATTTATCAAAAACTTTTTTTTTATGTATTATGGTCAACTTGTATCTTTGACTCATCTTCCGAACGGTTCTTTAAATTTTTATAACATTTGTGTTTCACTAGATTTGACGTGCTATTCGTAAATTTGAAAGCGCTGTTACAATTTTTGCATGCCACAACATCGCTTATCACACTGCCACTATTTTCAACCTTTCCAAAAATTTTCCAAACCTTGCTTTTTCCAGTTTCAATGACAATTGTGTACTCCCCTTTTACAATCTTATCCTTAATTTTTATAAATTGTTCCCTCAGTTCAGGAATAGAGCGCCTTGACGTTGGAGATTCATCTAATGTTACCTGTTTTTGTAAGCATATGTAGAAACACAGGTGTACAATGTATTACAATATGGTAATTGTTAATGAAAAATGCACTCATATTTGCTGTCAATCACTTACATCCATTATTTTTGAGGAAATATATCTGATAACAAGTGCGCTCGGGTATAAAATGTGTGTATTGAAACAAATAGCTGCCAAAAAATTCTACTTCGCGTCATCTCCGAATTCACAAACTAAATGACAAATTCAAATATTTACTAAAATATATCGACCAAGCATCTACGGTCCGTAATATGCAGGTAAACATGTTGGTGGGAAACCCCTTTGTTTTTTCCCTTCTTTATTTGCTTGCTTAGCTGAAAACCATGAGTGCACCCATCAGTGATCGGACTTCTACCACATTGTGGTAGATCTGCCACTTTTTTGAGCATCTACCACACAAGGTCTGAAATCTACCACATATTCGCATTTTTGAGCAGTTTTATTTTTGCTCGACATAATTTTCTTAATTTTAAGAGCAAAAATTGTCCAACATTAAACACTAACAATAGGCAGAATGGGATTATAAAATAAACTGTAAAATATTAAATTTTCTCAATATTCAATTTTTCGACAGCAAACGTGGTTTTATTGTGTTAAATTGCAAAATATATGATTTATAAAAATAACTAATAGCGAAAATGTTAAAAAAAACGGCGATTTTTGTGAAAGTGTTGGCAAATTTCAGTGCATCAAAACCATCTAAAGCGTTGTTTACCTTTACTTGAGAAGTGTCAAAATCGGCAAATCCCAAGTAGCGGTTTCTGGAACGTGCCACATTTGTTCGCTACATCGTGATGTGATAAAAAGAAAAACTGGAAGCACTCCGCAAGGTTGCAGAAATCTTTCAAAATATGTTGGAAAAATATCTTGATATGGAAGGAACCGCTTTACACGTACAAGAAAAAAATTGCTCAACGCAATTTTTAGCAGCTTTAATCTTGCACTTTATTATACTAAAATTATTTTATTTTTAAATTCTAATTAAAATGTTTGCAATTTATCTGAAACCTTGCAGAATATTTTTAATTTTTATACAAAGTTTGATCCAAAACCTGAGGTCTACCACATTTTTTTGAAATCTACCACATTTTTTTCCACATTCTACCACACACATTTTTTTTGAAGTCCGATCACATCCGTGTTAATAGAATTCGAGGAACAATGAATTCACATAACAATGAGTGTTGACCACTTATTGCTCCCACTGCTTAACGATCGGCACAACTGGTTGGTGGTGAGAGTGTGAGTTTCGTTTGCGTATGGGATGAATTAACAAGCTTACCTGTTAGTGAAAGACAAGACCAGTTTCAACACAACACAACAGCGGCGCTAGACTCGAGTTATGAGATGAATTCATGAATTCTGTGGTGCATTCATAACATGAGTTGATTCTTGCAACCCTTTAGTATGAACATATGTAAATACATACATACGTACACACCGTCTTGAAAAGAGTCACAACTCAAAATAATACGTTCGCCAGAAAATGCGAAAAGTTATTTCGTTGCTCATGCTAATCATATGGGCAAGGGAGACTTTACCTTAGGTTTTTGATGTGTATACATCTTTGGTTTCGGTAGGGGTAAAATTTGCGAAGCTGTAACGCATATCCCAGCACAAAATTTCGAAGGGCTTAGCATGTGTATTTCAGCATAAATGTTTATTTTCATTAGAAACACCCTGTGTTTGCTTGCCAAATGGTTGCATACATTTAGGCATATGCATAGTAAGAGGAAATGCGCTACAATTGATTATTACTTCCGATTATTTAAACTCCGCACATGCATACGGCCTTGTACCTATGTATGTACATATATACAGTCATGTGAAAAAAATAGGGGCACTTTCATTAAAATATTTGAAAATCCTACTTCGCCTCAATTTTTAAAAATTGGTCCGAAATAACGTAATAATTTCCTGCTGCGATGTCGTGGAAGCTAAGAACCGTTATCGAAGCGGAAATATTTTGCGTCGTTTTATAATTATTGATCATTTCGTGAAGTGAGTTCGTTTTGGCGTGTGCGAAATAATAGGGACGCGGACCTCTAAATACAAATTTCTTTGAAATAGTGTGGATTTTAAAGATTATAAACAACGAAAGGTATTATATATAAAATGAAATTTAATTATATACTAAACCACTAATCATACACTACAATTTAGTCACTCAAAATGGGCAGAAGAAAGCACTGCACTTTTCAGCTTAGAGAACAAATAAAACACCTTCGAAATAAAGGGTTTTCGTACCGGAAAATAGCCGAGACGTTGAAATGTTAAAAAAGAATGGTGGAAAATGCAATAAAATATAAGCCAAAAGTGGAAACACGTGGACGGAAAACAAAAATATCTGCAGTTCTTGAAAGAAATATAGAGAAGTTTGTGAAAAAGAACCCCTTTGTATCTTCAAATGATATAAAAAATGAATTTTCTTTGGACGTGGACTGTTCCACCATTCGCAAAAGACTTATAAACAAAAATTTAAAATTAAAAAGGCCGAGGAAAGTACCTATTCTGTCAAAACAAAATGTTGCTAAAAGGCTACTTTTTGCTAACGAGCATATCAATTGGTCAGTGAAGAAATGGCGCAATATCCTGTGGTCGGATGAGACTAAATCTAATCTGTTTTATTCTGACTGCGGTACACAACATGTTCGTAGGCCAGTTAACACCGCTTTCAAACCGCAATATACAGTTAAAACCTTTAAACACGGAGGAGGGTCAATTATGGTTTGGGGATGTTTTTCCTACCAAGGTGTTGGTCCGATATGTCGAATTGAGGAGACAATGACAGCAGCAACTTATTGCAGAATTTTAAGTGAGGTTATGTTACCTTATGCTGAGGATAATATGCCGCTTCGATGGGTGTTTCAGCAAGACAACGACCCGAAGCACACATCGAAGCTGGCAAAGAAATGGTTTTCGGATAACAACATAAACACACTAAGCTGGCCTGCTCAATCGCCAGATTTAAATCCTATCGAGAATTTGTGGCAATATGTGAAAGTAGCGTTGAGGGGTAAAAAATCAACCAATAAAGATGCACTCTGGTTACTGGTGAAGGAAGCATGGGAAGCTATTCCCCCGGCCATATGCCAAAAATTGGTCGACTCTATGCCTCGCCGCTGTGCGGCTGTTATACAAAGTAAAGGCTATGCAACGAAATATTAAATAATCAGATAACCTTAATAATTAAATAACTTAAAAAAATGCTACAAAACTTAATGATAAAACTTTGAACTTTGTAAATGTCCCTATTTTTTTTTCACAGCATAATTTGAGTTTAGATATTGAAATATTTTGTATTTTTTCTTTTTGCATAGAATTTGAGCCTATTCTTTTATTATTTTATAGTAGAACATTGGCCGATTTCAAAATAAAAATACTACTCGGAAATAATTTAAAATATTGGTTTTCTTTGTATTTCTACAAAAAAACACTATGTGTCCCTATTATTTTTCACATGACTGTATGTATGGACTCATTTGTTGCAACTGAGCATGAATCACGTAACTAGTGTTGTTCCGATACGACCTTGTACTCGATACCTGTACTCTTTAAAAATATTGAAGAAAAGTATCGATGCCACAAATGTATCGGAGAGAAGTACTCGATACATAAAAAGAATCGGTTCGAGTACTCTCCGACCAAAACTTACCAAAAAAGTAGCCACAAGTTTGTATATTGCAAAATTTTAATAATTGACTAGTACGGGAAAGCAGGGATTGACACTTTTTTTATTAGCCAACTTAACGTGGTGCAAAACAGACATTGGCAAAGGGTGCTGTTTTTGTGACTTTAAGCCTACTCTCGTTAAAAACGGAGGATGAACCAACACCACCGCAAAGCGTGCTGTCTTGCAAATACAGCCACCACAAGTGAACGATGCTTATAACAGCTCATACTGATATTGACTTCGGCAAATCTGTACTCCGAATGATCGTGCACGAAACCAGCAACCGCCGTATTTGATCGACAGCCATAAGCACGATACTGCATTTGGACGGTTGCCGAAAGCATGACAGCTTATGTGAAAGACTGGCAAGATGCCGCAGTTAGCTAACTTGATTTGTTGCAGAAGTCAAACCGCCGCCTTTGGTTTGTTGCTGAAGGCGCGTTTGACGTGTTGCCGAAGTGATGATACTGTAGTTCAAAAACATTCAAAGACACTCGCTTGTTTGAAATGAAGCATTGATATGTACATACATACATACATACTTACGTACGTATGCATATTCACAACTAGCCTACATACATGTATGTATGTATATTAGGGTGCTTTTTTTTCGGCGACTATTTTTTTTTTTACTTCCACCTCGAAACTTTGTGGGAAATATCTAAAATACATACCCATTTAACTAGAGAATAAAGAAAATTTGCAGTTTTATATATTTTTGTCTTTATTTATAGTTACAGTTGTGTTGGAAAAAATAAAGGAAAATACGGTATTATCTTGTAATTATTTGTTAAAATTTTTATAATAAGAATGCAAAAACAATAAGGTGTCGACTGCCTTTGGCACTAATCTGCTTCGCTTCTCCGTTATAATATTGCCAGCCATAGAAAATACTCGCTCAGCCGCTGCAGTGCTAGCTGGAATCGAATGGATTTGAAGAGCTAATTCTGATAAATGAGGATAGTTTTTTGAATTATCCCTCCACCATACAAATAAATCAACATTTTCCGTCATTTTAACTATTCCCTGGCTATACCTTTCAACTTCTTCTTCAGGAGTTTCTGGTCTTGCCATCGCTGATTGATTTAATAAATTTGAAAAAAAGAACTGAACATCTCCATTGGCTGGTGATGATGTAGTCATATTAGTTTGCGCCAAAAAGCGTGTTGAATTGTTAGATGGAGTAGATGAATTTCGTAGAACTAGAACAGACGAGTGTGGTCCTGGGCTTTCGGGATCAGAAGGGATATTACCCAATAGTGGTGATTGCAATGGATCTGCTGTAGTATTTTCCAATTCATGAATGCGACATATACAAAAATCTTTAATATCGGAAAGTTCGTTCCGTTGCATATTTGCAGCTGGCGGGTATAAAAAGAATGCAGCCTTATTCCACAAAGTTAAATTTTTTTGCCCAAATACCGCTTATGTTATGAAAAATTTTTTC